CAAAAAACAAAAAAAAAAAAAAAAAAAAAAAAAAAACAAAAAAACCCACAACCAAAAAAACCAAAACAACACAAACAAACAACAAAAAAACCCAGCTAGACTCTCAATCTCAGAATCAAACTTGTCACTGCTTTAAAAGAGTATTCATTTATTTAAAATTATAGTAGATAGATTTAATCTTTTTTGAAACTCAAGACTAAATTTAATTCCTAGACATAGGTATCATAAGCAATTCAGAATGCTTTAGATGACCATGCATCCGGATAGCAGCTGCCACTGGAGATGGATACAGGTCTCTGGTAAGGTTCTGTATTTTGGAGCTCTGTTTTGACATTCCATATAAGCAAATGATTTAGCACCTAAATTTAAACAGCATTACATGAAATGATTATTTGAAGCACAGGAGCTGATGGAACAAGCATTTGCTGCACCTGAAGTATTAACTGACAGATTACTACCCCAGCTGGTAACTCATGCATTTACTGTGGAATCTTAAGCAGATTAGGGCAATTGCTTCATTTTTTTAGGGCAAAAGCTATAAATCATGGTGTGGTTTGCATAAAGTCCCTAGAAACGAACACATGACAAGAACTCAAGGATGTTGCAAAGTCAACTGATCTACACTGAAAAGTTATTTTGTATTGGTTTGGTTGGTTTGGGGTTGGTTTGTTCCTTGGTTTGGGGTTTTTGAGGGAGGGTGGGGGAGTGGTTGTTTCATTTGCTTGCTTATTTGTTTTTTAAAGATACTTAGCTTCCCTACCTCCCCAAAAGAATAATTTTGCACTGGTTTGCCAGCTATAATGCAAGAAAACACAGGTCTGTTTAAATCCTTTTTGCTATACTTCAGGCTACTTCAATAATGTACTTCTTTAAAATAATTCATGATGACTCTTCCATAGAGCATAATGGCATTTATTGTCCCTAACATTTGGTTGAAAACAAAACCAACCACCAAGCAATCTAGATAAACTGAAAAGATACTTCTAAATGCATAGTTTTAAGAAAGACAGCTGCTATAGTACTAGTTTGCTGAACCAACTCAGGGAATGGAAGAAAAAAAAAAAAAAAGATCCTTACATTTTCCAAAAACACATGCAGTAAAGCCCCACCTACCACCCTTTTCCCAAATCAAGCTTACCAATAACAACCTCGCAAGACTTGTAGGCTTGAGAAACTTCATAAGCACTGCGCATCTCAGAATATGTAATTCCTCCAATCACAAATATAATCAGTCTTGCACTACTCTTTCGCTCGTCTTTATAACTACCCTTAGGTTTCTGGCGTGCACTGTGAAAGATTTCATAAGATGACATTTATATAGCTTTACTGAGTAATTTTGGTAAAAATAATACACTTAAGCAGTAGAATTTTCTGTCATACAGTTCGTGGTTTGATTATCATTTTAGAAAAAAACTTTAGACAAATTGATAATTCAAAGAATTTTAATGAGAACAAGTTACCATATTACTGAAACTATTCAGAATCACATGGGGGAAAATAAATACAAAGCAAAAAATGTTACACACACACACATGCAGACAAAGGACTTCTACCAAGCAACTTAATTCTGCATGCTGGCAATTCCACTCATGAGACGTTCATTTGAAAAAGCTAGTCTTAGATTTTTCAGTTTCTAAACATGAACAGAGTCTCTCATTAAAAAATACTTGGCTGTTATATTAAGTAAGATTCAGATAGCCAGGAGGAAAAAAAAAAAGTCACTTAAAATACACTAACATAGATACAGAAATTGCAGATTCAGGTTAAATCATCTCGAGCCCTGATCTCTTTGCTAGGGTGTCTGAAAGATTCTCACATTGCATCAGCCTGTAAGATACAGATCCAGTTACAACGTACAGGGACTTGCCCCAGTGTTTTCTTGCCTTGATCATCGTGTGTCCTTATGTTCCAAAGGCTGAGAAAAAATATTTTCCCAAGGCTGTGCATCTGTACCTTTTGACTTGTATTCCATAACATACAAATTCCAATTTAAGCATCATCTCCAATCTTAGGATGTGTATAAATTTCCCTCCCTATGAATTCCTGCATCTGATTAGTGCAATGAGCATTCCTGTGATAGGAACACTCCTATCTCTATTCAGCTGTCACACCATTTAAGTAACACTATCAAATGTGACAAAGCTGTTAAATTGGCAGGTATTGATCATGAGGTTCAAGAGCTCATGGGATTAAAAAAAGAAAGAAGGGACAGTACAGATTAGGGAGCTAAAAAAAATAATCCCAAAATAACCTCTCAGTACTACTCAGTAAATAAGCAAGTACACGGAACACACTTTCACATTTATTAGCAGAGAATTCATTCCAAGACCTTCAACTTTTCTGGACTTGTCTAAGTCATCCCCTGACAACAGGGGTCAAATGTCCAACAGGCCCTTATTCCCTAATGAGACAACCTAGAGACGTTAATTTTTACTTACTGAAGTCATTACCTTGAAGAATGACACCACTGCTACCACAGCAGAAATAACTTTCAGAATAAACAAACACATTCTTTTTGCCCAAGTCACACTATACCAATAATCCATTCCTGAAACTACTTCACACTAAAAAGCTCAATGGTTTAAACTTCTCATTCTGGGAATACAGAAATGTTATTTCTAACTTTGAAGCAAAACAGAGATACTCCACTAAAAAGCTATATACAGCCAAGAATTATTAAACAACAAAGGTCAGTATAGTTTAGATGAAAAACATACATGTTTTACACAAGTATTACCTTAAATACGTTTTTTCACTACTTAGCGAGCACACTTTGAGAATGTACATGAGAAAAATACTGATAAATGGGTAAATTATGTTTCAGGAAGTTAAACAGTTTACCTCACTGCTCCTGAACCATTCCAGGTAGGAGGACACTGGGAACAATAAGGCCAGTCTTTTGAATCTAGTTTGTTTTCTATTGCATCCTGAAGGGCAAAACAGAGACTCACTTGAAACAGCCACATAGACCTAAAATCCACCAAGTTCAAACTTCCAGTAAAGATGTCTAAGTGGAATTTAATGCCAGCACATGCAATTTCTTAGAACAGCCAGTTGCAAGCAGCACCTCATGAACTACAGTCCTATGTAACAAAATGCTCAAAAATTATTACAATGCTTTCTTCATAAACACTCTACTGATTTAACTGCTCAGATTTCACTAGCAGCTCTTTATCTGTAATGACCCTAACATATCTGATTTCTCTTTAGTTGTATATGAGCGAAGTTAGGGTCCCCTGAAGACACAAATGAATGGGTGAAAGTCACCAAGAATCTACAAATGACAGCACTAGGACAGACAAAAGATCCAGTGAACTCACAATTCTGTCCAACATATGTCACTAACTCATGCTTAGGAAGAGGTTTAAGAATAGAGCAACTACACCTCTGGCAAGTAGTATTTCCCAGCCTCTGCTAATCTACAGTTTAGATTTGAATTGCAGTTTTAAGAACCATTGTGTGGAGGGGAACCCACAAAAAAAAAAAAAATCTAGCTCTTCAAGTTACTGAACACTGCCTACCACAGGACAAGATGTTCAAAAAGACTTTTTGCTTTCACTTTTATTTGCATCACCTTTAAAAGGAACACAGCAGGCTAACATTCTGTAGTACAGACAGTGTACAAGTGATCACTTTGCTAAACAGGCATATTTAACAGCAGTAACTCAAGATACTATAGAATTTGTAAAAACTGATTGCAACTGCCCACTTGAGTAAATTTCTGCACTGCACCCATGCATTACTTAGTTGGTCAGATTTACCTCCATAACATCTTTAATGACAGGCGTCCACCTAGAAAGTTGGTAAGTTTCTTCTGAAGAACGGTCCCTCCTTGGGTATTTATGCTGCTGAGCAGCAGACTGAAAACATTTTCAAAATAAGGTTGTATTATACAGTGAATTGGATTTTTGAAACTTATTACCAATTAGTAGTGTGGGGAAGGGGAACAGTAGGAGATTCTCAGGAAATAACAATAACAACAAATAATTATTACATGTAGAATTCTGGATACACTAGAAGTACTAATTTCAGAGACAAGGAACTGAGAAAGTTGGCACTATCCAAAGCCAACTAGCTGAAGTCACAAGCTGACAATTGTAGAGGGAACTTTATAGGTATCTTACTTTGAAAAGGTAAGAGAGCTGTAGTCAAGTGCTTGGGTTGTAGGAAATTACAAAATAAATGAATACGTTCTTACTGAGGCAATAACAGGAACGCCAAGGTATTTCCAATTTCTTATCATATCACTATCACTTTCTATTTGAACATTCTGGATCAGCTTGTCCAAGTTCTCCTGGGTAGTTCCTTTGACATAAGGAAAACATAAAACTTAATAACCATGTGACTGAGTAACACCAATTTTGTCTTACACATTCTGGGCTGTTACTTAGTCCAAGATTTTTTGTTTTGTTTGTCCAGTCTACTTTAACACAACACTCTATTTTAGATAAAATTTTGTCCATTTGTGAGATCAAAACTCATTGTTACTATAATAGTTTCTCAGACTAACATTATACAAATTTCCTACTCCTCTACTAGAAGCTCTTCCCCACCGAGTTAATTTTCAGGTTGCAAGACATGGAGCTCCCCCTTTAACAGCTTCAATACTAAGTGAAAAGGGGAAAATCTAAACTGTTGCCAACATCCAAGAACAGGAATGATGCCTAAACACTGTATGGATCTGCACTTACATTGAATGTCTTAACTCCTTACCAGTAGTACCTCACTACTCATTTGAGAAGAGAAGCTACAGAGGATGGACAGTATTTCTTTCAAACTTGTCCATCAGTTCCAATACAACTGCTTAACTAAAAACACTGGACTAGCCCAAAACTTGAGCTGAAGTCCATACCACTGAAAGAAACAACAACAACAACAACAAAATAGGGTAGCTTATCATACCATTAGTGCTAAAGATGTACAGAAGAATAGCTCTAATTTTATCATAGCTCTCATGACTTTTGTTGAGCAGAACTGGAAGGAGGACTCTCATTGAGTCTTTCACTTTTTGACCTTCTACATCAGTTCCAAGAGCCAAGTCCTAAATTAAAGGGAAAAAAAAAAAACCAAAAACAAAACAAGGGGGAAAAAAAAAACCAAAACAAACCCACATGGTTTAGTGAGTAGTCATTAAAAAATAACAACACAAAAAAAAAAAAACAAAAAAACCCCACAAAAAACAAACAAAAAAAACCCAGAAGAAAACCAACCAACCAACCAAAACCACCCACCCCTTTGTTTTGTGTGTTTTGAAATGCATTTTTATGAAACCATAGGTTTCAGGAAACCATCAAGCTGCATCAATTTAAATTCAGTGTGACAAGTCTTTGTCACAATTATTTCAATAGTTACAGTATTATAATAACACTACGTAACACTCAAAGATTTTGAACTGTTTGATATTTAGAATTCATATAAATAAAAATTGTAAATTTTAACTCAAGCACAATATAAGGCCTCACCCTAGCAGGTGCTTTACCCAGACATTTTAAGAGGGCTTGCTTCTTAGTAAGGCAACTTCATAGTAGTTTTGAACAAAGAAAACAAAGATTATCCTTATACAAATCAGCCAGATTTAAAGTCAACAAACAGAAGTCCTTTATTGGCAGAGTAAGAGCCTTGTATCTTTCACTTCGATTTAATGCTTTTCCCTCAAAAAAAAAACCCAAAAAATCCAACAGGCAACAGACACACTACTGTTGTCAGCTGAGAACAAGCATTTCCTCCTGCAGACAAACAAGTCACATCTGGAGTAAGTTGTTGTTTGGTTTGTGGGGGTTTATTTTCAACATACCTGTTCAGTTTTACAGAGCCTTTCTATGTTGGATTTGAACTTGCTCATGCAATCTTCTGCTAAGTTAAGATGAATAACTTGCTAGAAGGCCAAAACCAAAAAATTACTACAAGCTGCCATAACTTGCTGGTTTTTTTGTAAACACATGAAGCAATCATTTTCACTGGTTACAAGAGTCAACCCTTCAACTATCCTTCAATACCAACACACATTTTCTGTGGTTTATCCTCGACAGAGATTAACTCCCATAATACCTTTTAAAACATTAAGCAGCTATGCTATCTTCCATCCTCAAAGCATGCAAATCATTTAAAGTAGATTTTTTACACACTAAAGCGAAACACCTGGAAATAAAGCTTTCTTCTCACAATTTTGCAGTAGGAGAACATACTAATTTGGAGAAAAGTTATATAACGCATTTACCCGGAAAATGTCAGGACAGAGCCAGACTTCAACAACACAGAATATTACAGCGTACAAAATGATTTATTGTGAAGTTGTGGTTACAAAAGACCCCTTACCCTACTAATCTCTTTACGATAAAGCGGCATCTTTTTCATTAACTGGGCCAGAGCAGATATTGATACCTGTGAAGAAATGATACAAGTTGAAGTTTTTCCCCCCACCAATATTTAATATTATTATTTCCCCTCCCTGTTGCAGCCTTGGTCGCCCACACCCTCCAAAAACTGCCAGTGAGATAAGCCTTAATTTCTGTAATAGGTCCATGAATTACATTTATCTGATCAGCTGAAAATAATTAAATTACTAGGAAAAACAATAATAATTAATAATTTAAAGAACTTACTTTTCCTTCTGCTGCTTTTCTTTTTGATGAAACTTCTTTAAAAAGTTTTGGTATTTCCCTGAGGGGGAGGAGGGGGAAAAAAAAAAAAAAAAGGTAAGTCATCAAATGCAACAGCACCCCAGTTCTTAAAGATTTAAGATCTTTACTTAAAATCTCAACAGAACTGTGCAAGAACTTCTGAATTAAAGTAAAAGTTTCAAATACAGGTCTGCTTCATAGAAGAGAGTGGGTTTTGACAAAGGAAACAAATTTAAGTTAAAACATTCTGTTTACGATATCTTCACATCATTTGATGCAATAACTTGTAAGTATGTTATGCAATATAATCCCTTCAGATTTAAAAGATTTGAAGACACTTTTCAGGAAATAATTTTATTTCCATTTCCCTCAAGAACTGTAATTAAGATAAGTAAAATCGTATACTTCTGTACATACTTCTATTTCTGAAAGTATGCTTTCTCCCTGGAATTGATTATTTAAAAGGCTGCAGTCCATATTGCAAACCATCTTCGCTACTGCCTGCATTCCTAATTAATAGCTCAAACACATTCCCTCTCAAACTTCTATAACTTGCATTTGAACTAGTTTTTGTTATTTTAGTCACATACTCTATCACATCTGCAATATGCTTGTGCCGAATCTTCACCCAGAGCTCATCATCTTCCTCCAGAATTGCCTCCCGTTCCTTCCCTTCTGTTTTGTATCTTCCAAGAGAAAATTCAGAGAGTTATTTGGTTTGAGTTCCAACCCCCTCCCACGATAACACAGCTATGGCCCTACAATATAATTTACATAGGATTTCACAGACAATGTCTGTGAACATAGAAGCAGCAGATGACTTTTAGACTGACTCTTAGAGGCAATAGCTTCTTTTAAACCAGTGATAACTAGAGTTTCAATCATACATTCACATACACCTCAATTTGTCTTCAGCTTCCAATGTCAACCTCCCTTTGGCTTCAAATGCAAGCTGTGTGCAAAGTAGTACACATTGAGACTGCAAAGTGCAGCTTTCTGTATCTACTCCAGGACCTTTTCTATCTCTGAAGGAAAACGAAGTCCCACTCACCAACAAAATAGACTAGGACTAATTATTTTACATGCACAAGAACCATGCTTCACAGCATTACAGACCAGCTACTACTTTTCTACAAAGTACAATCTTACTACATCACATTTTCACATTTACAGAAACTCACAGTGCATATGGCCAGAGAGCAGAAAGGAAAAAAATAAAAATTACAAGATTAATTGAGAAAGTCAGATCATGACTACTTAGAAAACACTCTACTATATATTCATACCCAGCAAATTTCAGATTCATCAAATTCTACATGTGCTTTAAAAACATTCACCCAATGTTTTTGACAAAAGATATCCATCCCTCTTCGCTTAACTCAACAATGAGGTGATTAGCTCTCATTTGCTCTAGCGGGTCGTCAGAAAGCCAAGTCTTACCAGTATCTTTGGTGTCAGAACAATCCGAAAAAGTGCATACATTACACAAAAACATGTCACACTATTCCAAATAGCGATAAAATAATGCTTATAAATTGAACGTGGCTTAACTAAATGTGCATTTAGGGAAAAAACATGAAAATTATAACAACTACACAAATTATATGACTGGAGCTATAGAAATGAGCACTCCCTAGAATTAGCTAAGCTTCTTCTCAGTATTTGATTACTGGTTTTGTTTGCCTTGTTAGGCCAGGAAGGTTGAAAATACTAAAGAAAAGGTAGAGAAGTTGAACATCCACTACTAAGGTTTTGCTTCAAGTCTAGTACAATGTCCTTTTTATTTAAAAAAACAAAAAAAAAAAAAAAAAAAAATTGAATTTGTTAGACTCAAAACTTACCAAAAAATTCTAGATAGATCTTACCTAATCTCAAATAAATGAGGAAGTTAAGAAAAAAAGGAAGTTACAAATCCAAAAGGAAAGATCAATAAAAAGTGAAGCAACCCTTATGTAACATAAGCAGCTATTATTCCTATGGTGCAATTCAGCTAAACAATTCCATAGATTTTATAATCAAGACTAAAGTGTTTAGATTTTTTTTTTTTTCTTTAAGTACTTGCTTGTAAGTATCATTTTCAATTGGTAGCAGATCATATGCCATTGCCTGGAAGGTGAGCTCATGAAGGACAGTTGACACTGGGTCAAAGCCACGATCAATTATTATTAGTTGGGAATGGGTTTTAGCCTAGAAAGCCATCAAATAAATGTAAAGTTAATAGACAGTACAAAGTTAATGCATGTTAAGTCTATTTAAAATAAGCTACAGCAGACATTTTTGGAAAACTAACTGAAAAAACCCTACAGAGTATAGTCTAAGTGTTAATCAACATAAATAGAAGCAAACATTTGGATGATAACCAGAAGACAGTGGCTATAAACACCAATTTTAAAGGCAATGCTTTTAGCCCCTTGCAATCCATTCAGTGATCTCACCTGATGAACAAAATATATATATGAAAAACAGAAAAAAAGCCTCCCACTGACATGTCACAAATAAGTGTGTTGTTTGTATTTCAGACCAGACTACCTATATTGTGCTGCAACACCGAAAAATTCACGTCCAACCATTCAACCGAAAGTCTCATTTTGGGGTTCAGTAAAGCGGCAGTAGCATCAGTTACATTTATTTCTGTGGCAGAGTGGCACAGCACTAAGTCAGAGTTGTTTACCCTGTACTTTCACATTTCAGCAGCTGCCCTAATCTGCCTCAGTCTATAGTGACAGATCAAAAACATTATGTATGTGAAAAGCTGTATCTTTGTGGACAATAAATCCCTTAATGGGAGGCATTTCAATTTTGCAATTAAGCCCCTTATACACACACCCTTCTTCCGCAGCCCTATGGAAGGTGATGTTAAAACAAGTTACCCACTTTTTCTTCAGGCTTGTATCATCCCTTACATTATAATAGGGCCAATTTTTTGATCAATTAGTTTGATCACACAGATTACTTTTGCTTACATACAGATTTATTGTTTCAGTTACAATCTCTAAGCTGTTTCCATACACAAAAACCAACTACATGGCAACTACTTGCCTTTATTAAGAAACAAAACCTGGTTTTGTAGAACTTATTATCAAAACATACTGTAAAGATTAGTTCTTTTCCCCCAAACTTATAAAAAGTAAGCAAACAGTTTACTTTTTACCTTTATTTGGCTTTGCTCATCAGTTTTGTAGTAGTTCTCAAGATTTTTTTCAACCAGCTGTGCAAGTTTGCAGGCTTTATCAGATGGTCCACTGGGAAAAAAGGAAGCATGCAAAAATAACTTAAATTTTCTTCATCAAAACCACTAAAATGCTACCATCAAATCAGAAGGAACTCCCTAGCTTGATGCTCTGGTTTCACAAGCAGCTTCCAAACTCCATTCTAACTATTTCCAATTCAGTCAGTAGACCAAATATAAAACAAACAGTTCATAACAAACCAGGGTATATTAAGTGAATATATGAATACATACAGAAAAATAATATATTGCTCTGCTTACACTTCACAAATTCCTGTCATTCTCAAATTTCAGAGCTGTGAATTAAAAACAATTAATCTACAATAAAAGAAACCAGGCTGCAGCCTCAGGCTACTACCAAACAATGTGGGAAATCCTATAAGCAAAAGCAACTACGTTATGTAACACTATTTTTGCCTCACCTTTTATATCGTACTCCTGGGTTCTCATCCAGCGTGGCACATAAAGTAACGATTTGTTCAGCCATTACTTGCATTACAGCGTCTTTATCCTTCGTCTTTTCCAGAGTTGGACTATAACAGCGGTAGAATGCATCTGGGACATTGAGAGTAAATACCTATGTAAAGCACAACCAAGAAAAACAATGACTTAAATTGCTTAATGATAAATACCTACTAAAATAAATGCTAATACTTTAAATACATGCTGTAGCAAAATGCCATTAAAAAAAACCCACCACAACAACAAAAACACTTCAGTCCTCTTTCTCTGCCCTGTTAAGCTCATCTGTTTCTTGTTCTTACCCTCTTTTCTGCTATTACTCTCCTCTCCTATATAAATTACTGTATTTTTCAAATTGCATACTGTCTGTACAGACGGGAAGGACCCAAATCAGGCAGAACTAAACACCATCCAGTGTCTCATAGAGAGCCATACAACGCAATACCAGAATGATCATAGAAGGTATCAAGGTAAATTTGTTTAAAATACAATTTTATATATTATATCTGTTTATTATATTAAGACTTCACCTCCAAGATCTGAAATTCTTTAAAGCATTAAACATTGATATAAGATGTTTAGTACTACACAGAAGAAAAACTTTTTCAACAGCTTAATAAATGGAATGCAAACATGGGAACAAATCTCATTGTCAGTAAGTGGATTTTTTCCAGCTTCAGATGGACTCTGTAACTACACAGCCAAAAAGGAACAACCATCCAAATAAAGATTTTGTTTCATTCTAGTAGATAATCACTTGGACTTTGCCCAGAGTACAGTCTGATTATTTACTCTTACCACCCCAGAAAGCAGGCCCACAGATTTTAAATTAGGAAAACTAGTTAGCATTTTCTGCTCCTTTGCAAAGGATTCAAAATGTTCTCACAACCCAAAATACTGAGAATACTAAACTAAAAAACTGAAAACAGTGTTCATAACACAGGGATGTTTTTGTTACTGCTGAGCAGCATTTATGCACAGTCAAGGCCTCTTCTGCTTCTCACACCACTCCACCAGCAAGCAGGCTGGGGGTGCACAAGAAGCTAGGAGGGGACACAGCTGACGCCAACTGACCCAAGGGATATTCCATACCATATGATGTCATTCTAAGCATATAAAGCTGAGCCATTCTCTGATGGCTTCTCAATCTAGATAATAAAACACCTTTATTGTAAAAAGGAGTGTGCTGTCAAACTAGGAAACTTTATCACAGTAAGGCATAGATAGCAGCAACCATTCCTATATTCACCTGCCACTTGGTATACAAAAGAGTTCTGACCTTTGATACGTTCATAAGGTTTGAAGAATACAGGAAAGACTTGTAGGAAACATTCACACTCAGATCTACAATTTCCAACAGGGGACAGAGTCTGGGTGTTGACTGTATTAGTGAATATCACAGTGCATTTCAGCCTTCTGTATGTGATACAGTGCACAAGCAGCAAATTATCCTGCAACTCAACACCCACTGTGTGGGTTCACAAGAACAGCACTCACTTTACATTGGTGGTCTCTAATTTTTAAGAAAATTTTCAAGAAAAAATTCACCAAGTTGTTACAGCTGTTGTTTGTCTTTTGTGAGACTTCGGTTTTGCTCCATTCCCCTTCAGTTCTCTTCATCCATTTGCGCTCCTTTTCTGACTTTCACCAAGCAGTTAGTTTTACTTATTCCTATGCACTAATCTACCTAGTCTGTCAAAATAACATCTCAGTATAAGCAGTGACAAACTTTGGTGCTTACTAGAGACAAGCCAGAATACTTCTCCTAAAGGACAGATACCTTCTCTGACCTCTCCATTGCAACTGACTCCAAGTCTGGCAAAGAGATCAAGTGCAAACAGTAAGCCTTTGAGTACAAAAGCATTTGTTTTCATCTGAAAAATACAGGCAAGCACTGGAAATATTCCAAAATGGCAACAAGTCTCACATACAGTTTGTCAGCTAAAAAAATAAACACAAAACCAGAAACTACACTGTATTTAATTGCTTTCTAGCAGGTCATCAATAAGCGAAATTAGTTCTCCAGACTATTTTATGCTGTTGAGATGAAGAATGAAACCTACCTGAGACTCATATGGGAAGAAGGAAATGTTGATCTCCTTGCATCTCCTTATTGATTTTGCACAAGACAACTTAATTTTATTGAAGAGGTTGTCAGGACAAACTAGGAAAAAGATTGTAGGTATAAATCATTTGTGCATATTCCAGCTGTTTACTCACTCAGAAGCTTAACAGCATTTAGAACAATTCGCAATTAAGAACTAATTTACAGTAGTATACAAAAAAGTTGCTAAATCTTCCTGAAGTGAAAGAGAATGTATAATCAATATTTTGTGTTCGAGATCTTTTTCAAGAAGCATCACTGGCAAATTTTTTTACTAGCTTTTGGCACACAAAGTTGTAGAACACTCATTAGCAGTCTGCAGCAGTGAAGGATATTGGTTTTATCAAAGCAAAAGTTTCTGCTATTTCTTCTCATATATAGGAGAGAAAAAACTTTTCCCAAGCCACAAAAAGGTTAAAGAGAGAAATAATGTGTACATAGCAAGACACAGAAATAGGGAATTTAATAACATATCTCAAATGTATTCAGGCTACACTGGATTCCACTTCAGAAAATGACACAAATACTGGAAATGACAGAGCTGTTTCTCTAACTCCTGACATGAAAAGTTCTGGTAAGCATTCACACTGAAAGCTTGAACATTTCCAACAAAGGAACATACAGCAAGATAGCAGTATTTTTCCAGAACAAGAATTGCTTCATCAGCATAAAATCAAACAAGAAACCAAGGTGGTTTGGATAGTAATTTGGTAACTGTTCTGAGAACACATGGTAGCAGATATGCTCCATCCACAGAGAGCCACAACTCAGCCCCTGCTTTCTGCAGCACATTTGGGTTTTTTTGTTTTCCCTTCTTTACGTGCCATTTTATTCACGCTGACTGGCTGCAGAGGTATATGCAGTCAGGTAAGCCCCATTTGTACTATTTGTCTCTGCTTTGCAAAATGTCATGCATGCAAGGGCTAAGTAGGCACCTTCTTTTAGGGACAGGAAAAAGCTGGCACAAGTCTGAAGGAACTACCTAAACATAGCCCACTACAATGCACTGTTCTGGCAGAAAATTCTTACGCATTTGTATTTTTGAGTACTATTTAGTTTATACGAGATACATAGTTTTACTTGAATTGTCTTCTTCCACACTCCCTAACACAGGAGAAGACTTGAATACTTTAGACATAAAACTAGATTACCTAAACTAAAAGCTGAGGTGGGGAACGATCAAGACTGTTTGGTAATCGTGCAAGAAATTACTATCGCCATACAGCATAGTAACCACCTCCTGGCAACCCAAATGTGGTTAATGACTTGAGTCTCCTATCTTCTCTCAAGAAACAGGACTCAATTTGCACATACTAAACTACAGGAAAGAAAGTTGAGAAGCTTACTTATTTACCTATATAAAGTTATAAAATTACAACACAAAAGCTTACTTACAGTCAGTGAAATACACATATGCTGCTTTATATCTGCTGGATGATTTAGTGATAAAGTCATCAATAAGTCCATCTACAGACTTAGGGGGGGTAGGAAAAATAAGTTTAAAAAAAACAAAAAAAACAAACAAAAAAACCCCAAAAAAACCCAAAAAACAACCCACACATTATTTTTTTGCTTTTTTCCCCACCAAACAAAACCTCTCCCTCCTCTCCTCCTGCCCTCTTAACTATGCAGTACCACTTAGGAATACTGCAAATCAACATATAATAATACACTCAAGATGATTTTAATTCCAGACCAATAATAAAAAAAAATTAAGACGGTCAGTTGTGCACCAGGATCACTTCAGGAAACACACAAAGCAGGACACTTGCATCATTTTCCACCTCTGTACTGAGATTTATTCCCTCAGCAAATTTTAGGGAGTAAAAGTAATCTCTAATAAGAGCCACTACTTTGACTTCTGTTCTTCAATGTATTGCATCACTCTTTTGAGACAGCATCTCTCTCAGTGAGGTTACTAACATGTACGCAATGAAACGGTGCCTCCACTGATGAAAAGGCACATGTTTGCAACATATTGTATGGTGACACTGCACTGTCTTTTCATCATGGAAAATTAAGTATCATACAGAGGAGCATCACACAAAGTTAAAAAGTTAAGTACTATATAGTTGTACACAGTGACTAACTTTTAAAATAAGACTGCTTTTTCAGTCTGAAAGATCTTGCTACATTTTCTTTAAAATACTAACCTTTTTGGTGGGAGTTATGAAATATATTGCTTTCATGTGTGGGACAGGCTCGCGGTTTTTATATACATTCTCCACCACTATAAAGTAAGAAATATTACATTTTTATAACTAAGAGCTTTCAGCATCTGTAAGGAAAGCACCATACATATTTTAGCATAGAAGCGATAAAATAACGCCTATCAAATTGTCCACAAAATTAGTGGCAATGATTAGCCTTGATTTTTGTTTGTGGTTTACAACAGAGCAAATTACCACAAGACTTCTTCAACTCTCAGTCTAGTGTCACCTAAATCTTTAATTTTTTTCCTGGCTATTGTACATAAGCAGAGTTTTGCCCTCACAAATAATAGGTATGGCAATACAAACCTGCTTAAACCAAGGGGCCCAATATGAATTATCTTGCAAGAGAACTGACTCAGCAAGATTGTTCTTTTCCCAGCACAGTGAAGGAGAATTAGAAAGAAACTATGCAAGGCACTATTCTGGACTACACCCTCTTCTGTCCTTTGTTTGCCTATTTCCTATGCACTTACTCTGTTCCAATATAATTGCAGGCACAAATTAGATCTTTTCACCAAATCAGTTTCACTCCATTCTTGGTTTTCTCTGTTTAGTAAAGCTATTACTACATAATGTTGCTGTACACTAGCTTGAGAATGCAGTGATTCATATTGCTCAGGAATTTTGAGGGGGAGGAACGAGGAAGATAAGTAATGTCAGACATCTGGATGTGGAAAGACAGGTTCTTTTCAGTAGCGTACTCACTAAAAATAAAAGGTTTCCTACTGATGAATAGGATACATGCTCACCGAAGGCTTCTTACAAAGGGGTAAGTAGTGCTTCTTATGATTAAAAACATACTACAAAAGGTGAAATGTATACATCTTCGCTCTTATTCCAGAAGAATCACATTACACTGAACTGCTGGAATAAGAAGTCTTTGTACTTGCGGAAATAACTAAGTCTAAATAATCATTTTGTATATTCATTTACAAAAATAGGCAGAAAAAGAGCTCAGCAGGATGATACACTAATAAACATTACAAAAAGGTCAATCATAAAAAGCAACTTTGATAAGTGCTTTATGATAGCAAAAACACACTTTTTTTTTTTTTTTTAAGTTGTAGGGAGGAAAAGTCCATGAAATTTACTACAGAGAAAATACATTTTTAAAAACACACTTAGAAAAAACAAAGTCTTGTCTAAATAGGCACACTGCATAACTAAGATCTGTCACAATCCCACCTATTACTCACTTTTGGCAGTGGCTAATATCTTACTGCTCTTAACATTGCTTATGGGTTTATTCCAGTTAAAGTAATTATTGATATAACTTAGTTTCAAATTTTTGTTGGGATTTTTTTGTGGGTGTTTTTTTTTTTTTATTACAGAAGGCTCTCTAGTTTTAAGAAAAGACTAAACTGTATCTCAACAACATAGAACTTACATTTAAAGTCTTGCGTCTGTCACATCCATTGCTTGAAACACCTCTCAGTTTCTCTATTGTCTCCTGTTCTCATTTTGATTTCAGTACTTGAGTTTCTCTGCCCTCCTAGCTCTACTGTGCATGAGCATAAATGAATTTGCAGCAGCAGATATGACTGACTTACAGAACACATCAGGAAGAAATGCAGAGAGTAATTTGCCCATTCTTATGTTTTACTAACATTCCTATAATACTTTACTGAGCTCCTGTTTTTCCTTAACTTCAACTGACAGATAACTTTCTCATTTACCCCACTGTTGACATTAGCAAACATCCAGCCCCCAAGAAAACCCCACCCCCAACCAAACCAAAGTTTTAAAAAGCTTAAAAACAAACACCAAACAACACCCAACTTATTGCAATCTTTAACAAAAAGACTACCACAGAGAAGGCTTTAGCTTCTAGGCAGAGAAACATTTGATTTTTCATAAAAAAAAAAAAGAAAAGAAAAGAAAAGAAAATGCTCAATTGGGCAATTACTGTACAAGCACGAAGTCTGCTAGTCTAATATCCCACAGATACTTGTCTTCATCAACAAAATTGAGACAATTTCTTACTAAGGTACTATCAATTTTATTTTTTCCCTTTTTATTATCAGGATATTGCATATGTATATTAAAAAGAATGATGCTTACCTGTGATACCCTCTGCCAGCAGATCAGTCATTTTGCAGCACTGTGACAGTAATTTAGTAGTATAATCATCCAAAAGCATTACCTAATCAAAAAAATCCCCAAGTATTCAGATAGATTAATTGGCTATGGTAAACCCATGTTACTTCCTTCACAACTTGCCATGGAAATTTGAAGCTGAAATCTGTTTTATTACTGTGCATTTTCACCTGCATATAGCTGGTATCTGTATCATCACCTGCATATAGCTACTTTGCAGTGGGAAATTAATCTCAATTAGCATCAGAAAGCTGCCCTCTACATACAGGATTTCAAAAGATGAGCTGCATCTTAAATGTAGCTTGTCCCACTACTCCCACTAGAAGGTATTTTAAAACTTTTGAATTTTGTCTTTTGAGTTCCTGCTAATATACCCTATAGCCTTCTTAAATATGTCTGTACTTACTCTAAAACTGCTTTACAGCTTAAGCAGCTCTAACAGATATTGCATGGCTCAATCTTGCTCCACATGTATTGCATAGCAGCATCATGTTTGAAATTAAGTACAAGTCTTTCAAAAGAAAAGATAAACAGAAACAGCTTCCAATTTCCACCGCCAAACCTTAAAAAACAATCAAGACAAGTAACCATTTGTTCGTCCTATATTCTTTACTGAGGAGACACTGGCACAGGTTGCCCAGAGAAGCTGTGGCTGCCCCATCCTTGGAAGTGTTCAAGGCCAGGCTGGACAGGGCTTGGAGCAACCTGGCATAGTTGAAGGTATCCATGCCCATGGCAGGAGATTGGAACTAGATGATATTTAAGGTCCCTTCAAACCCAAAGCATTCGATGATTTTAGCCATTTGGTTTTTCGACTATGTATTATACAGAGATTGAGTTAAAAGAACTAAAATCCATCAACTGAATAGAAAATAATTCTAAGTGAAAGTGCCAGCCACTAAATGATGCTTATTTGTTCTGTTCTCAGTGATACAGATAATTCGTTCAAGTGATTCCAACATTCTTACAAACAATACCACAAAATTATACCTTCCATTCTTCTTCTTTCTTGCAGTCCTCAAATACTGATGATTTTAGCTCTGTAAGAAGAAACAGAGATAGACAGTTGACCACTCAGAGGAATCAAATTGTTGGTAAAAAAAATAACAACACTTCACCCTTTAAGAGTCATATGTTTAGATACATAAAAACAGTATTAAAACCAAACAAACCACAAATAAATACGTCTTCAGAATTCTTGAGCACAAACTGTCCCTACCCACTTCAAAAACATATAGCTAAATTTTCTTTTTTGCTAATAATGAAGACCTCCATAATATTCAGCCTGAATGATCACAGGCTTATAAATATTTCACGTGGGTTCTATTTTTTCTTTTTGTGAGCTCTTCCACTTAATGGATTGTGCATATAGAAAAAAGATTAAGCTACTTTAAGATAAAGGCAGCTGGACCAACAGATTCACAAATAGATCTATTTTAAAATATAAGCTAACTTCAGATGCCCTTGTTCTTCCTCTAGAATTCCAGAATAAACCTAAGAAAATACCAGTTCTTCCAGGAACTGAAAGTTTATCTTTTCCTGCTATGATAACTTTGGGAGAAGCGTCAATTAAAAGGCTTGTACAGGATTCAGCAATAAGAGTCAGCATCAGGAGCGATGTCATCAGGCTAATGCAGATTTGATCTGCAGTGGGATGTATTAATTAAAAGTCAGAATATTTGGGGAACTGTTTAAAATCTGGTGTTCATAAACACAGGAATAAAGAGATGTAATTATTCTGTTCGCTTTTCCCAGAGAACAGAATTTCAGACTAAGCTACTAAGCTGATGACTACTGCTGCCTATAAAAATAGCTGGACCTTTCTCCATAAAAAAAATTAGAAACAGAGACCTAGAATAAAAAATAAATTAAAAAAAAAACAAAAAAACAACCTTCAGAATAGTAGGTCCACAGACAAAAAAAAGTACACCTATTTTTTCAGTGTTTAGAAATATTAGTATATTCTATATACTATGTCTATTTATGTCTAGGTTCCTTTGGCATGACACCATCAAAAGATACTCCATCTCCACCCCTAACTTCCAATGCCTCACTATTCATCAGTTTCTCCACCTGCACAGCCTACTACTGAAATGAAGGCTCATGCAGCCTTCATTTCAGGTTCACCAACTCTAATGCTGCATAGCACACAACGTTCCCATGACATCATGATTCATGCTTCTCATGGTTATATTTTACAAAGATGTCCTACACTTACAAAAGTTTTTTTTTGAAAGATAGGTCTTTTTGCTTTAGCTTTCCAACGTGTTCAAGTTACAACTTAGAAACACCTCACACTCCACTCTAATAACCTGACAAAAACACTGGTATAAAAATTACTTAAGCAAAAAACACATTTCAAATGGGATGTAATCTATTTCGTTCATGCTGCTAAACAGCAGAACTTGAGCTTAGTTCTCCTGAACTTTTTTTTGCTTATCAACTCCCAAAAATCCATTATCATTCCTCACACTTGCCCCCTGGATTGCTTCCAATTCAGCATCCTTCCTGATACACACAATCCACAGTTTTCAACAAGTTCTAGGTCTGTTAGCCTGGTGCAGGGACCCATGACTTCTCTGGATATACCCTCTGTTAAACTACAGAACACTCATCACTGCAGAGTTCCTACAGAGATGTATTTGTTGGTAGTATCTAAGTCCAGTACATAATACAGGCACATTTTTTCCTGTCATTTTTATACCATGTATTTGTTACTACCATGTTTCTAGGTCTGTACACAAGGTGTAAGAATGAATATTTAGCCTCATGAAAATTTCATTAACCTTCGTATTTTCTGATAACACTCTTACCAAGGAATTAGTCCTTGGCACTACACAGAGTTCTTTTGCATAATAAATACACTGCCCGAGAGCTTTGTCCAAAATCTCAAATATATTTTTCATGCAATACATTAATTTACTTGCCTACAAAATAAACGAGAACAATACATAGAATCATAGAATCAACTAGGTTGGAAAAGAGCTTTAAGACCATGGAGCACAACTGCCACCCCAGGACTGCCAAGCCCACCGCTAAACCATGTCACTGACGGCAAACTGATCTCCCCTCATGGCTGCCCCTCATGATCTCCAGTCACAGCCACCCCTCATTTGCCCCCTCATATTAGCCCCACACTATATAGCTGCCACCCCTAACCCTCATGGCCACCTCTCATCTCCCCTCAAGATCTCCCCTTATGTCCACCCCTCACAACCCAAAGCTGCCCCTGCTCTCACCTCACCATCTCCCCTCACAGCCACCCCACCACTCCCCTCATGATCTTCCCTCATGGCCACCCCTGCTCTCCCCTCACGATCTCCCCTCACCTCTCATGGCCATCCCTCCCATCCCCTCACACCTAAAGACCACCCCACATCTCCTCTCATGATCTTTCCTTATGGCCACCCCTGCCCTCCCCTCACCTCTCATGGCTGTCCCTCCTGTCCCCCACCATCTCCCCTCATCCCTCATGGCCGCCTCTCCTGTCCCCTCACACCTCGCAACTGCCCCACCTCTCCCGTCATGATCTTCCCTCATGGCCACCCCTGCTCTTCCCTCATGACCACCTCTCACCCTCCCACTGACGGATGTCCATGACATAATTCAGTGTGCCTTGAATTTCATTTCAGTTATTAAAAACAGGAGTCAGCTTTATCCCATCATGAAAAAAACGTTTTACTCTAAGCTATCGGTGTTCCATATACAGCGTACTTGCTCCTGTAACATTCCAACTGCTGTTTGTTTTGTCCTCAACCTGCAGCTGCTTTATCCAGATAGCTGACCTACGCTGGTTTATGGACTCTCAAAATCACCTCATTTGTCTCAAGTAAGAACTCTGAATGCACCAAAACCATTCGTAAACCTAGATATGAATACTGCTCCAATTTTGTCTAAGCTTTCATGTCCTTCTCACGAATTTCATACCCACCATGTATCCTAACTGCCTTCTCTAATCTTATTTTCTCTGAATATATTTAATTAGCTTGAGGCATTTTTCTTCTACTTTTACTTCCCAATCCAGGTAAGAATTACACAGAAACATGACAGAAGAGCAGACTACTAAATCCCCATGTGGGGGAAAAAAAACCAAACCAAAACCATACCTTGGCAATGTTAATAACCCATTTATAACACACTTCCTGAAGAAAGGACTAAACCAGCTTTCACTACAAGCAAACGTACTGGAAAATAAAGTTGCAGAATTGCTGTATCATTTTAGAAACATAATACAGATATCTATGGCTAGGCTAGAACCTTATTACAGAAATCTAGAACACATGTGGAGTTGGAAAAAAAAACCCCGACCAAACCAACAACAAAACACAAACAACAAACAACACACAGAGAAGAACCCTGAAGACAGAATTCCTTGTGGAAATAACCTTATTTACAGACACACACAGAGACATGCAGTATATAGTGAATTTTATCCACAGGACTACAGCCTCCTCATGCACATAGCTTCACCCATCCCACAACTGTGCAACTTAACTGACAGCAAACTCATGAAGTAACCTCGTCACAAACTTCTGCTTAGATTGAGTCTAAAATTGCACCTTACAGACAGGGCTATCATGATTGCAAGAAGAGGTTTTAACAACATCATACCAGAGCACAGGTATAAGACTTTCTGTACACACAACACCGGTCTAACTCCTTCGCCTATTCACAGACATTGACAACAATCTGCTACATGAAGCATCACCATCACTAACATTATTTTCAGACAGAACAGCCCTTAAAAAGGGAAAAAAGCCACGTCTGCTGAAACATTAAAAAGCAGCAGTTTCTGGCCTTGAATTATCCACGTTATTTACAAAGGTTCCTTCTTCTTATGGTCTAAGTGTTCTATAAAACACCAACAAATAAATCAACCACTTTAAAGTCAAAGGCACAAATGATTTAACACAGCAAAACAAGGCACGCAAAAGTAGAGATTTCTAAAGGACAGGTTTTAAACTCATGAGAGCAGGATACAGATGTCAGCAACCGAGAACGGACCACCACAGGAACAGTCTGCTTTCCTCTTTCTCCCCTTTTAATATTTTCTCTTCCAGTTACACAAGCAAGCAGATTGGAGCTTGCAAGTGGAAATGGAAGAGAAAAACACTGATGAAAAGGTAGCAGAAACCAGTAACAGTCACTCGGCTGGCTGAGCTGCTCATTGAGTCAAAGTGCAGCATGAGATGGCTGCTAACGCCTTTCCCCAAAGGTCTCGTACTACCCGAAGTACTATCAGTCCTTATACTCCACTAAGACGGGGAGTAGTTACAACTTCATTTTCTGTAACAAACACCAGAAGAACCTGTTCCTAAACCTGCAAATAAAATCCTACAGTTAATTTATGAGAGTATCTTGGGGCACCAATGTTTTTTTCTTCTGAAAACCGTGAAGTCCAACGTGAAGTGGGCACTGTCACTTTGTGACATACAACCAGAGAGCCCCTTCCAAAACCGGGAGCACTCTCCAAAACTGTTATTTCCAAGCAACAGGGCAGTCCTTGAAGAGCTGACTTCAGTTTAACCTCTTTTAAGAGCTAGCATGGCTGGCTACATCCTACACAGTTTATCTCGGAGTAAGGCAAAACGTTCCCATGCGAGTGTTATCACCACAGACACCCAAAGCACGGCCACAAGCCGGGTCG